TTACGGTCCACATCAAGCGGCCTAAAGATGTGCGGCACTTCCACGTCACCAAGCAATGCGAAACCTGTGACGAATCTCGATGCGAGGGCAACATCAGGCCATCTCAGAAGAGCCGTGAGAGCTGCAATAAGGGCCGGGCTCTTGTTGGCAGCTACCGCAGCCACGGCAGGGCACATGTGTTTGCGGAGCTCGACATCCCACGGTTGCAACCACTTGGCTAATGTCTCTAGTGCCCTCCGCTGCTGGCGTCTCCATGCCCGTATGCATGGGCCAAGAACGTACATACCTTTAACTGCGAAGCTCATGTCGTCGTCAAGGACTACTTCTGATTCAAACGGGAACGGCAAACAGCTGCTCAGTTGGACATGCGTCTCCTTACTCAACCCGGTGGGCAGTAAAGGCTCGGGCGCATGTTTGGAGGTAGGACCCCCCTTCTGCACACCTAATGACACGGCACTTGCGGCCCGTGCTTTCTGCTGGGCCCAGCATGGCCCTTGGTCAAAAGCCTGGCGGCCTCTGATCTGAGAGTCAACCCAGTAGACCTGCAACCGTCGGAGCGCAAGGTCCATGTCATTTGAGGTATGCAGGTCTGGCAACGCAACATTGAGTTCAGAAAAGGATTGCCTGACATGAGCGAGCAATGCCGCCGAAGACAGCACACCTGGCCAGGAATCTAGGAGACCTGGCTGCCACACTGTACCCTGGGCTGCCCCTCGGAGTCTGGCCTCAAAAGCGGCGTAGATTGGCCGAGGAATCGGCTCCGGCGGCGGCAACAGGGCGTGGGCCAATGACATGACAACCATGACTGACGGAACATGGGAGGCATTTTCAAGAAGGCTGCATCGTTTGTCCTCCAGTTTGCGTCGTGACTCGGTCTGGTCACAAGCACGTGTACAAACCATATCGGGAGGAAACCCCATGAGAATTGCACGCTCTCGTGCAGACGGAGGAGCTATGGCCTCCGATTCGAACTGATCCTTGTAGCCCCCCCCGGGTGCCGTCTCTGGGAATGGTTTCTTATGCTTCCAGCTCACTGTCCATCTGCCCTTCGAATCCCGATGCACGCTCGTACACCGAGGAATAGGCAAGTGGTCCAAGGCATGAACGCCTGTGTGGCCATCGGTGACCCAGAAACACCCAGACCTAGGAACCCAACCAAATGAACCTCCGTGCACGACGATCGGGGGGCCTTGCATCGC